CTAGGTGAAATGAGCTCGCTCAGGTGAGGAGTTACAAGAAAATCTGGGAACTCTTTAGAACCATGATCGCTTAAGTGAGAATACCTATCGCTTAGGTGAGAATATCAAAACAAGGCTAGAAAACCATTATCTGATTTTCTCGCTCAAGCGAGAAGGAGTTTGCTCAAGCAAAAATGAACTCGCTCTAGTGAGAACGTATAAGTTTGAAGGGTATTTAAGGGAGTTCGTGTTGAGTAAATTCATTTTTCTACAAAACCACTTCTCACTCTCGATTCTCTTCATTCTCTTCCTCTTCTTTCTCAGAGAAAGCCTTAAATAACTTTAGATCTCTCTCAGATCTGAGCTCAAACATTTATTTCACTCAGATCTAAGTAAGTTTTTTGAGCTCAGCTCTAAAATCTTGTTTTTATTTCTTTGTTTCCTCTCCTTATAATAGTACTTTATTTTGCTATATTAGGAGGAACTCTAGTCTTTGGATAATATTTCCAGTCAAAAGAACTTCTTTCTAGATCTCACGAAGAACTTAGCCTCAGGGATCTATTTTCAGGTAAGGGGAGCTGACCTTAAACCCTAAGTTTTAACTGTATATTCAATTTGTGAAATTTGAAAAATTTATTTTGAAAGATAAATCCAAAGTGTTTTCTTGAGAATATAGTATAAAAATGGGTTTATGAATATGTAACCTATATGTATTTTTATTACTACTGAGTAAAGTTTCATAATAAGAAATTATGAAGAAAACTCATTTTTGAAAAGTTCCACAATTTTATTATTGATGATTACGCATGAATGATTTTGAGGTGTGAATTAGTGTTGAGAAATAATAAGTTTGCTAGGAAAGGATAAAACTTCAGGTTAGATGATTTTATTTAAGATCGGAAGAGTGTGATCATTGACAAAATACTTATGGACTGCATAATTAGTTTGAGTCTTGAGGTATCCGACCTTCAACGCATTGTATTGGTCTTGTAATGATGTGTTTTTCCTATTTTATAGTTGTATTTTTGATTGAGAAGTTGATTGTTGGGCGAAATTGATATAAATGGTTGGACTATCGGTGAATGATAAAAGATATCGTATTATATATGCATGAATTGGATGAAGCATGAATGCATGTACCTTAGACATGAGTCAATGAAATGAATAAGGCAAAAGAGATGAAGGAAAGTTGATTGATAGTGGAAGTTATTAATGAGATTGATAAATATAGAAATGCTGATGAAAGGTGTGTTGTGTGAAAAGTGTTAAGAAAGGGCAAGAAAGAGAGAAAGAGGAGGTAACTGATATATGTGTCACAAAGATACTAATTAATGCAATTATAATATATATGTTGTAATACATCGATATGTGAGATTATAACATATATGTTATAATACATTGATTAGTGTGATTTTAACACGTGTATTGAAAAAGTGTAATTGTGATGTGCTACGTTTGACTTACCATATGGATAGTTTAGAGATACAATAAGGGTATAGATTCTGAAGGCAATTTGAAAAAATTTAAGGGAAATAAAGGTGATGAATGCTAATAGCTTATGTGTACACAATTGATAGCGAAAGCATTTATAGGCCTTACATTATTTTCTGATTGATTCTCTTGACTATACCTTTACTATGAATGCCTAATAAAGCACACGTTGTATCAATGTGTGACGGCAGATGACAACTATCCATGCTTGCGTAAGTCTATCATAACTAGAAAGAGCATACTAGCAGCGATTTAGGGGCTCATGAGTACCTAGAGTACTCTTGTTTGATGCATACTTCATAAATAAAATGATTAAAAGAGACATGAGTTCAGAAATTGTATGATCATATTGATTAAGGAGAAATGGATTTTATTTGAGTATGTAATGAATAATGTGTGTGAATATTTCCTGTTTGATTAGAATGATTTTTGTAAATAAATTCATATTTGACGCATAATGTATTGAAAAATATTATGTTACTAAAATTTTATTATTGAAATAAGAATTTAATGGGCAAGGGAAGTTCACCCTTACAAACATTTTTAGGTAATAGAAGAATTTTATAGAAGATAAATCCGTTTTAGAATCATACTCACACAGGACTATAAGGAAAGGAAGTACTTTACTAGGATTAGTTATTATGAGAAATATAATTATATTAATTTAGTTTCTATTTAGAATTTATGACATTTCAATGAATCCTACTATAAAAATGGTTAAAGTTTTATATGTAATATTCAATAACTAAGTTGTTTAAAATTTTTATTTTATATTCAGTTTTAGTCAAAAATTCGTTTTATAGAAAGATAGTTGGATTGCACCATGAATTTGAAATATGTATATAAAAAATTATAATGTGAAATTTCAGTTTTCATTTTATCCATAAACTATGGAACATATTTTATTTTTTCATAAATGAAATTTTATATAAATGAAGTTTATTTTAAATTTTTGCTGATTTTGTTAGGCTATATTTTTACATCTATACAATGTTCCAAGTATCCAAATCCTTTACAAAATTTCATTAAGTTTTATTCAAAACAACATAAATAAAGGTAAACTATGAGAATTTTATTAAGGATATTACATGGTTTGCAGTAGCATGGACAAGTTAGCTTTAGCAAAATAATATTTTCTTCAACATAATGTGCTAAATACTAGTGAAATGTTTCTAGCAAAAAAAAAACTAGTGAAATGCTTAATTATATATGTAAATTAACTTAATATTCTCTTAACATATATTATTAATTTTGTATTTCAAATTTATCTTTATTAAAATGTTGATACTTAACCAAAAAAAAAACAAAAAACAAAACCCAAGCTTGTAACACAATGTACATGGGTGATACCACCAAAGATGTGTAAGTGATTGGTTAGACCTTGAAGGTATTGGCTCGTGCACCTCCATACTTTAATCTAAATGTTCAAATATTAAAGTCGTTATTTGATGTAATATATTTTAGATTTATATTTATAATTTTATTTTAATTAATAAACACTTTTCATATATTTTGTTTTTAAAATTTTTATTATTTTCTAGTTATTTGAATAAATTGTGCTTGTTATAAATAAATGCTTTAATTTTGTATTTTCAGTTATTCTGACCTTTGACTACTTTTTTGACCATACTTTGTCTACATATATCATTTTTGGCTGATTCCAGTTGCATTGAGTTTTACACATCTAGGGCTTCAAAATGCATATATGAATCGCTGGATTTGAAGTTGTGTTTGATTTTTTTTTATAATTTTTTGAAATTGAGACAAATTTGTTAAATATTGTTACAGAATTACATTTAGACCCTTGTTATTTAATAATTGTATTTGGATTTTTAAATATTATTGAGGCTCAAATTTTGGCCACTTAATTCATCCTAATCAGAACATATAAATAGACTAATAAGGTTTTGAATTAGGGAGAGACGATTAGACACTTTGAGTTTTTGAAATTTAAAAAGTAAATTATAATAATTTTTGTTTATTTCTAGTTAAACTCAATTTTTTAATATATTAATTGTTAAGAAGTTAGAAAAGTTTAATCATTGAAAAACTATGAATGTGAAAAATGATAAATGCTCTTTAAATTTTGTAAAAAGACTTTATATTAAAGGATCAACAAAAAATATAAAAGGTTTATATATATATATATATATATATAATTTTGAGAATTAGTAAATTAGGTTGCACTCATTTTTTTTAGTAGTAATTTAACTATTCCTAACTCTTTTAATTCGCTCTAATCCACTACGATATGTCTCTACAAAACAAAGAGTTTGTAAGGATGTCAAACTTTCAATACCATCATTCATTTCCATCCCTTTTCCCTAAATCCATGCCATAAGGGCCATAAATTCAAGATAAAGTCAAGTAAGGATGAAAGGAAAACCATATTTTTTAAAATTTTAATCTAATTTCTACTTATTGTGTCACTGATTTTCATTAATGGATCATAATTTTTAAGACAACTATTTTTTCCTATTATATATAAAATATTCTCAGGCATTTTAAGTAATTTTTGAGTTTGCGCATCATTGATGATAAAAATGGCCAAGTTGATTTTCTATAAGACTATAGCATGAAAAGAAGTCTTGGTAGCTGTCTTTTTCTTCTTTTTGCTATTTTAGTGATCATTTACAATAAAATAACTTCGTATAAGTAAACTTATGTAAGTTACAATTTGAGTATATTATATTTTGTTGGAGCAAAATACAAGGTTTCACACATAGAGACATGCACTAGAATCATCCATTGTACTTGTACAATTCTTTTTATTCTCTCATTTTGTACTTCTCATATCCTAATTTAGGTTAACTTATTAGTAAAATTATCACTTAAAAATGTGATTAAACTAGTTTATAGTGATTTCTTTTTTGTGCCAAAATATTTTCTCAAACAAAATAATTTTTAAGAACTTGCATTTTCTTTAGGTTATAATCATTGAGTGGCTAATTATTTGTTAGTTTTATCACATTAATCGTTAAAGGATATAAAATTATCACTAATTATTTTTATCATCATTGTAATCCTTTGCATAGACCAATTTGCTAAGAAATTAGTATTTTTAAAACACAATTTTAATAAAATAAAAAGAAATACGATAAATAAATTTTAATATGATAAATTTAACAACAATCTTTTTATTAAAAAAAATTAAAAGCAATACTATCCTAAATTTCAGAAGATCAAGTTATGGATTTACTTTATTATTTTAAGTTTCTACCAATACAAGACATATATAATATTAAAATAATTTATGAAAGTATTTTATTATTAATACCATGATCACTCAAACTAATTTTTATTTTTTATATTCTTCTCTTTAGCATGTCAATATTAATATATTATAGAATATTGACTGTTATAATAAATATTCATTAATTCTTTCATATTAAATTAAGTTCACGATTAAATTAGCAAAACTAGACCTTAAACCTTAAAAAATAATCATATATCATTAAACTATCCACGATAATTTTAATCTTAACTAGCACTTTGAAATAACTTAGGAATAAAAGGGGACAAAAGAACAGGAGTAATAATTATTCATAAAACTATTAATAAATTACCTTCAAACTCCAATGCAAAATCTAGGTTTAGAAGATACCACAAAAACATCATAAATATAATTCATTACATTCTGGTCTTGAAAATAAATTATAATCCAATATATGGTATTAATAAATAACATCAGCAAACCATTAGTTTTGATAAACTTTAGAACATGTAAATGGTCCAACTCCTTCAAATGAAAGCTTTGTGAAGAAAGAACAATGTGATAGCATGACTGAAATGAGTGTTGTCAAGTGGCACCATCCCAGCTAAAAAATATCAATAGACACATGTTTGTCAGCTAATTTATCAGATAGAAAATAATAATATCAATAAATTAGTACAAAAAGAGACAATAAAGGTTTATTTGTTTCTCTTTTGACTTTTTATTTTTAAAAATTATATTTAAAATAATTTTTAAAATTGTTTTTAAGAAAAAATGAAAATAAAACTTATATTAACAAACAAATTTTATTATTTTTACTTTTAAATTTTTTTTAAAAAAAACTAAAAACAAACAAGCTCATAGTTTGCCATAAGAAAAGTTTCAGAGTTTTGCAAAAATAACAATTCATATAATTGAATCAAATTGCATATAAGTTTGTAAGTAAATCATTTGAATTAAAAAAAAAAGCAATAAAAAAATAAATTAAAAAATAACTATTATTTACGTGGTTTATTTTGTTGGGACTTAGCTGAGTGCTTAGAAAATAAAAAATAATTTATATTTAAATTACGTTAGTTATTGTTTTTCATAAGAATATTTGAAGGCCATACCTTCGGATGATTCCTGCCTGCCGTGCAGTCCCTCATATTATGACTTCACCGTTTATTTGTATGGCAGGAATCTTTGTCAAGTGTTTCCCTTTCTCTTTTCCATACCTTTCTTCTAGTAAGGGACAACACACTATGCTCAGTACTTCGAGAGACGATGGCAGTTGTTCCTCTGGCAATGACTCGAGGCTTCCACAGCTGAAGATGCCAAGCTCCCTAAGAGAAGTGAGATGTTGAAGCCCTTTCCCTTCCAACCGCTTTAAACCATCAAATTTGGATAGCGTCAGAGACGTCAGAGAAGTGGGCAGTGATGGCTCCCTTAGCAAAGTGTTTATCACATCTTCATCCCGCAAACCACTCCCCTGGAGATCAAGATCTGACAGAGAAGTGAGGCGTTGGAATTGGCAAACTAACTCTTGTTTAGACATAAATGATGATGATACTATTCCAACATCAATAACAAGATATCGTAAACTGGAAGGCAACCACCTTGGGGACCATGACGTTAACTCTGGAAGATCACGAAGCCACAAGCGTTGAAGGGCAGGGAGATCCATCTCTTCTGGAAGTGACCTAAGTTTCTTACAATTATGGACCATAAAAAAATATAATAAATTAGGAGAGGCCCTTCCACCTTTATCAGTAATTGCTTCCAAGGGACAGTCAGAGAACTGAAGGCGTCGAAGAGCTGGGAAGCAATCTAACGGAAAGGACATGAGCGAATCACAACTATCGAAGATTACCAGGCGTTCAAGTGATGTGCATTTGTGCCATCTTTCATCACACACAAATTCTAACTTCTCACAATTAGAGATGTTAAGTGATTGCAATGACGTGGGCCAACCATCAGTTGCGAGGGAAATCGAAGACTTGATATTTGTAAGATTCAACTCTTGAAGACAATTGGCATTGAGAATCATTCTTGGCAAACACTGCAAGCTGTCACACTTTTCAATTGATAGGTGACGACAAGACAAGTTGTCAAGCAAAGACAACAACCCCTCTCCCCCTTCTCTAACACTCGTCACTTCAATTGATGTATTCCACTGCACATCGCATGATTTTGCCTCCAGCTGGTTGCACCCTGCGATATCAACCTTTTCCAAAGAAGGTAGATGACTGGGCAAGTTTCCTCTCAACAAGGGACATTCGGATAAACGCAAAATCTTCAGGCACGGAAAAGGAAACTTGCTACCTTCACCTTCAAATGGTAGCCACTCCTCCCACTCTGACATCTCTTCAAACTCAAGACTTTCCAACAATGGAAATGGCTGGAAAGATTGGGAGCTTGCACTGCTGCAGTAGAACTCCTGACCAACTGTCTTCACCATTTTCATCCTTTCAATGACAAGCTCTTTCAGAGAAGGTAATTGTCCAAACGGTGGAAGTGACAGGCAATAGTTGCAGTCACTGATACACAGTACTTGAATATTACGGTATGAAGAGTCACCCAGCCAATTTGGGAAACTTGTGCCATTGTAGTATCTGATGCTCAGTTTCTTTAACATCGTTGATGGTTGCAGGTTGTCAAGTACATCCTTCTCAGCTTGTGAATCTTGTGGGTCGCGGCCCCACTCCAGCATAAGCTCCTCAATCTGCTCTTTGTTCTTTAAGTTGGCTTGAAATGCGTCTCTGGGATCAAAAACATTCTGCAGCTTCAGAATGGAAAGCTCACCCCGCAGATAGGGAAATTTTCTTAATTCACTGATCCTTAATCCATCTTCTTTGCCTACAATGAAGGAAGTCAATGTACGGAGATCTTGCAGTCTGCATATCTGTGTTGGCATCTCCGTCAAATTTGTGTCACTGATATCAAGGTGTCGTAAATTGACCAAATTTCCTGTCTGTGCTGGTAGCTCAACAAGAGATTCACAGTTTGACAATTTCAAAGTCTGCAAATTGTAAAGCTTGAAGGTTGCATCGGGCAACCTTTTGATGGAAGTAGAAGAAAGGTCAAGATACCGCAGAAGCACCAACATGCTTAAGGAATCAGATAGCTCAACAAGAGATCTACAGTTTGACAATTTCAAAGTCTGCAAATTGTAAAGCTTGAAGGTTGCATCGGGCAACCTTTTGATGGAAGTAGAGGAAAGGTCAAGATACCGCAGAAGCACCAAGAGGTCGATAGAATCAGGCAGCTCAGTGATGTTTCCATAGTTTGATAATGATAGAACTCGTAGGCATTTTAGTTTTGGCAACAAATCTTGTGGCACTTTTCTGGTTATGTTACAGGCCCATTTATTCAATGGTAGAAATGTCCGCAAACATTTCAGCTCATAGAAGCTCTCAAATTTTTTAGAGACGTCATAATAGTCCGTAGAAAAAGATAGATGGCGCACATTTTTTGGAATTTCACTGAAATCAAGATAGTGAGATCTTTTTCCTGATACAAGTCTAGCTAAATCATAGATGAGGTCATGCATTCGGAACTTGTCCTCTGAAACAGCTTTGTCTTTCTGAATTAAGGATCTGGATAATAACTCATCAAAGCAGTCAGAACCAACTGCTTCCAGTTCTTTCTCTGAGGATTGTTGTAGAAGGCCTTCGGCCATCCATAACAAAATCAAGTCTTCTCTGTCCAACAGATGTTGTTTTGGAAAGATTGAGCAATAGGCAAAACATCTTTTCAAATGTGCTGGAAGATGAAGATAACTTATGCGCAAAGCTGGTAAAACATCCTTGTGTACCCACAACTTGCTGTCTAGAACTCTTTTCCATTCCTTTTCATCAACTGTTTGCAAACTACCTCCCAATGTTTTAGCAGCTAATGGTAGGCCATTACATTTTCTTGCAATTTGCCGACCAATTTTTTCTAGACTTGGATATTTGACATAACCTTCATTTCCAAATGCATGATTTGCGAGTATCCTCCAACAATCTTCCTCTGTCACAGATTTCAGCTCATAAGTGGGAAATGTATGTGTAAACTTTGCAACTTCTGGTTGTCGGGTTGTCACAATGATCCTACTTCCCTTTATCGCACCAGCAAAAGGAGTTATCAATTGATTCCAGTCATTACGCTCTTCATTCCAGAGGTCATCGAGCACAAGCAAAATTTTTTTATCTTTCAAGCTATTTTTTAATTCAACACGAATAACATCTGGATTGGTACTATTACAATCTTTGGACGAGACAGACTCAAAAATGTGTTTTGTTACCTTGAAAAGGTCATAAACGTCCGATACCCATACCCAAGCTTTCAAATCAAAATGTTTCTCCACTTCACTATCATTATAAAGGTATTGAGCAAGGGTTGTTTTGCCCAGACCTCCCATGCCTAGGATTGTGATCACTTCTATATTATTAGACCTGGCATCAACATCAGATAAAAGCATCTTCAGTAACTTGTCTTTGTCATCCTCTCTAGCAACCACAACAGGTTCAATCAACGAATCTGTACTCTTGCTACAAGAGACTTTCCTAGAAGCACTTTGCAAACCAAGAATATCTCTCTGTTTCACAAAATGTTCTAGCTTTCGAGATATTGCTTCAAGCTTGGAATTCAGGCTCCTGTAGAATTGATTAAAGGGGGAAGAAAGTAATGATCTCACCTGAGTAGTAAAGCTTTTAGATTCTCCCTCCACCTTGCATCTCAAAGTTTCAGTGTTGATTTCATCCAACAAATCTTCTGCATCCAAGACAGCATTTTTCAACTCATCAAGCCATGCCTTCACGGCGAGATCCGTGATCTGCTTCTCCTCAGCATCATTGGACACAGCATTAAGTGCCAGCAGCTTTATCCTCAGTTCATCTAACAAAGAAACATCGACCCTTCTCTTGGCAAAGAAATCTCGAAACTCTGAAGAAGTTATTCTATCTAAAAAGATCTCCACAGAGGCAGATATTAGTGCCTCTCCCACCATAGCCAAGGCCATTTTTTCTCTTTTTTTCAAACAGTATCAGAACTCTAAATCTCTTGCTAAATGTTGAACGAGATACACATCTGTGGTCGTGAAAATTCGAGGTATTGTAGTGCTGAAGTCTAGTCAACATTGTTTTGGTTTCACACTCGCTGTTTTAAGCGCGTGAACATATATTTTTTTTTTAATTCATTTGTTTTTCATAAACGTTGACTGACCAAAAACCATGGTCATCGTTGTATTTGTAGTCAAGTGCATGTGTATTTTTTTATTTACTTAATAACTGTAATTCTAACAAAACTTTCTTGAATGAATATTTTCATTTTAAATTTTTCTTTAACATAATGTAAGCTAATTCAAATAGCATTTAAGTCTTGATTTTAATACTACGGTCTTTAATTAATACACAATCTATGGTGTAGGTAATATATGGTGAGTTAGCTGAGTAAACTAGAACAGTTGTAGCATAATTTTTAAGAATATTGGCTCCATTGTTCCACTATGATTTATGGTCTGGCTACATATTGATTTCTTCTAAGGCTTTAAGTGTACTCTAGAAATAGTTTAAATTTAAGTATAAGAAAATATTCCATATATGTTTGTGTGAAAGAGTGTATGTGGACTCATACAGGTGTGCATATGTACGTGCATATGTACCGACGTAATCACTTATATACGTGTGTACAAACCTAAGGAACTAATGTATCACTAAGTACAAAATATTTTTAGATTCAATGATAAAATTTATTTAAAAATAAAAATAAAAGATGCATGTTTACGAGAAATATATAATAAATAAAATTTATAAAAATATATGAAATATTTTAAAATGATGTAAAAATAAACAAAAATGCTACAACTAAGATTAAAAAAAAATAGTCTTTTAAATAACTAAACAAATGAAAATAATAAAAATAAAAGTTGATTTTCACCAAAGGTATAGGAAAAAATTAAAATTATCTTCTAAACTAAAAGACTAAAAGTAATCGTATAATAAGCAATAAGAAGATATATAATAAAAAGATAAGTAACAAAATAAAGGTAAATTAAACGTTTAATAATTTCATAAAAATAACCAATATTTATTAAAAAAGGTTTTTTCATAATAGATTTTGCTAACAAACTAACACTCCTCACACTATGTTTTTGGGTAACTTTGACTTAGCCATATAAAAAGTCATGTAAAAAGTTAGAGGAGGGGGGTTTTGATTTGGAGACTTTTGAATTATTTATTTTCTTTTTAATTGTTATTCAATCTCTAAACAGAGAGGATTTTGACGATCATCACTCTCAATGCTCCTCTCAAATCATAATTGAATCTTTATTCTTAGGATTCCACGTTGTCATACTTAGGAGGAGAAAGAAGGACTCAAACTATAAAGGTCTGTACTTTAATTTTAGTTTTCTTCAATTTATACACAATGCCACATTCTAGTTGCTTCATCTCATTTACGTTTTAGGAATCACATCATGCATGCTTCTTTTTCAAAATATAAGTGATATTCTTGAATTGAAATTACCTAACACATTCGAGATAATTCCAATTAGTTCAAGAAATATAATGAATGTATTTCATATAATCAACGTCTAAGGATCAGCAAAACAGCGTCAGTTTCGTGCGCATAAGCAATAATCACTGCAAAACCATCTATTAAGAATCATTAGAACCAAACACTTCAAGGGGATTAAGTTCTGAATTTGAAACAATTTTAAGTTTGAACCAAAGTCATGTTTGCAATTTACTTTTCTTCTATTCTATCAATGAATCCATGATAATTGCTTTTTATAAGATGCAATCTGGTTTAGGAATGAAGTTGGATGAACTTTTTGGGATTTATACATTGATAAAAATAATAGAATAACAACAATGGAGAAATGCAAAAGGTAAAACTAATGATTGTGTCCATTTGTCTTGTTATTAGTTTGTGTTAATTCCTTTTGAACTGCTTACATGAATAATTGACTTTATTTGTTGAGAATTATTTGTATCCAATAATAGTGAGTGCTTAAAATATAGTGTGTACATGTTTTGTTTCTAAGGATTACATATTTTTATAATACTAATGCTATATTCATAAGAAATATGAATGATATTGAGCTGTAATCAAAATATGAATATGAACCATTACTTTTACATTCTTCAATTCTGGTAAGTCCAAAACAAATTATAAATATATGAATGAACTTTGCATTAGCAACTATGGGCTTAACAATTGTCGATTCTTTTATAATATCTCAACTATTGTCTTCTTTCTACAAGTTCTCTTTCTTTGACAATCATAGGTGGTTAGTCTTTTTGCCTAAGGTACAACGAAACTAGGAATAATTAAAAATAATTCATAATAGATTTTCTCTCAATAAAATAACATTGCATAATATTTATTTAAAAAATTATTATAATGATGATAAGTTTTAACAATTTTTCTTATTTAATTTTGCAAATTTCTTCACGACAAATAACATAACTAAATAGGAACAAAGGCAATAATTAAAGAAAGAAGTTTGAACTCTAAAAAAGAACGATATACTTTAAAAAATAAATATTTATTTTAACAATTTTCCATAAAATTTTTCTTATAAACAAAAACTACATTAATCAAATATACTTGACAAGCACGTAAAATATAAATATTTTATAAGCTATAATAATATATATGTCAATCTTTGGGTAAATATTATTGTTTGATTGTATTTTCTTTTTAATCATGCCATATGAAATTTAAAGTGCATATGAATTTTACTTTATGTTGAGTGCTAAAGTGATTAGAAGCTAGTAATATATGACTAACACATGAAGAATAACATGAGTAGTGAAGTAACAAGTAATTTGTTTCCCAAAGCAATTGCATTAATAAAGATATTATTAAAGTCACTTGAATAAAAGTACAATCTTTTTATCATGGATTCAAATTTTATTTTTTTTTAATGCAGATGACATTGACAGAGATGATGAAATGGCTGAAGTAGATGACAATGACCAAGCTTAGAAGACATTCTTGACATTGATATTAAAATCTTAAGCCATGACTAAATAAGAAATTATATCTAACTTGCACAATTTCCTATATGTTGGAAGCATTCTACAAAACTATTCATCTAGTAATTCATGATTGTGATCATTAAAAAAATAGGTTGCATACCATTGACTAGAATTCATATGCACTTCAAATTTTGGTTGCAATCATACCTAATTAAAGGTTTACTTTGACACTCACGATTTTCATTGGTTGAAATCTTCACGTGAAATCTTTGCCTATAACAAACGAATGTTTGCTGGAACATCTCATATTTACTATTTCAAAAGATTGTGTTTTTTCTCGTTAGAAAACTATTTAGTCTTGCATACCACGTATAAAACAAGTACACCACCTACAAACTTTTAGGATCAACACAAGTGAATAGTTTCAATAAGGTTAGTATAGAGCCTTGCCTTATATATAGTTCCTTTGCTACCTAATTAGAGGGATATGAAAAATAAAGTTTCATTAAAAAGAGATGTATAATTAGATTTGAAGGAAAAAAACATGCATGTATTAATTTTTATGAGTGATTTACAATACCTTAATTAGTTGAAATTGATTGATTCACTGATGTTTTGCTATTATACTATATATGAGGAAGGTAAATTGAAATATTTATTTTTTAGTTATAAATTTAATTGAAAAGATAATAAAATATTTGGTAAGTTTGTGGCATTTGATACAATATATGAGAAGATAAGTATTGTTGTTCAATTTTAGTAGTTTGAAGTGTAAATCATCACAAGCAAACTACATTGTTTATTGTTGTAATTATAGGAGATGAAACTAAAAAAAATTGTGTAGATATTAGAACAACTTGGAGAAGCAAGGAAGACAAGACACTTGTATCAATAATTATCGATGAAGATATGGCAATGAGAAAGGTCATAAAAAAGGTGTGGTCAAATACGCATAGTAGATTGTGTGCCTCATCTATTTCGTAATGCAATTGTGAATGTCAGATGTTTTTGCATTTACTTTTGAGTTTAAGAAATACATGTTATTTGATTATGATATGGATAAGTTTCAATATAAGTAGAGTGAAATCGTGTATAATTTTGATATGTGAAACAATGGTTAGGTTACAGAGATATATCAAAGGGGGAAGATGTGAGTCACATGTGAAATACATGGTAATTTTTTATTGGCTTTAGGATAACTTCCTTATGTGAACGTTTTCACTAGCAAATTTGAAAGATTTGTTAACTCATGTAATTTAAAATAATTGTTACAATAATTTTATATGTACCTAAATTGTATTTGATATAAAAAAAACTTGAGGCTAACTTTTCCTTCATGCGTGGTGACCCATTATTTGGAAATAAATTAATAAAGCATTGAAAGGGCAATTGCTAGAGTACTTACACTAGTTAGGTTATCCATAATTATTTTGATTTGATTTAAAGAGTCATTTACATACGATATTTATCTGATATCAAAGTATTGCAGCTATAAATATGATATGACCATATTCTTGTAGTGCTTGTAGAATTTCCAAAATGTCTAATATTTAATCAGATGGACAAATAATGCAAAGGATTCAATTTAAACCCTTTTGGTTAATGGATCAAATTATTGGTTCTTACATCTCATAGGTAGACTTATTATATCCATGTATCAATATAAGGAATTAATTGTATTTGCTTGTTAAAGTTTAGAGGATTTTTATAATGAAAGGGATAGAGTCACAAGAGCACTTGAGGTTCTAAAATAAAAAAAATTCTTATATAGGTCAAAATGATTGAGATGAAATTAACATTGAGCATAATGAATTAAGAGATGCGCTCCTCTTAGTAGCAAAAGTAGGAGAAATTAGTTCTCATCATATGATAAATAAGTCAAAGAATTCAAGAAAGTGCTCTAAATATAATTGTTACATGCGTAATAAGTATGTTCACCACTTATGTAGTTTTAGTATATGACACAATTTGTGGTTAAATCATCTTTGCCATTGAAAAAAGATGACATGTCTCGAGTAAGTAAGAATTACAATGCAAAATAACTAAGTATTTTTGAATAATTAACTCAATGCATCATTTGTAGGTTGTAACAATTAAAAGTTTCTTATTGAATGAATGATATTTCTACCTTGTATTCATAACACTGCTTCCTATTTTAGATACTAACAGGGACAAATTTGAACTCTATAGTTTCTCAATGGTTAAGTATATTACTTCAATATGATTGAACTTGGTGTGAAGGTTGATGTGATCATTGTTATCCTTCTTAGTTTTTTTTTTCTTTTTTAGCGTTTTATGTGTTTTGATTGATACACCAAGTTGGCTTATTTTCACTAGTTTTACAATTGTGGTTGTCGATTCTTTAGCAAGTGTACCAAAAATTTTGCAATAGCAAACAATAAGGTTGTCAAATCAACATGGACTTATGAGATATTTAACAAATTACAGTATTAATGATTAAGTTTTATGTGTCCTTCAACTCCCTTCTCTTACAAGGTCTTCAATTAGGTCATCCATTTGGTTTCCATCACTAGTTTTTTGTAGTTGATACTCTTCTTCTTCTCTAGCTCTTGCTTCATTTGTTACATCATTTCCATATCCCTCATTTCCCTCTCCTTCTAAAAAGAGTAGATCATCCCTAAGCCATGGAACATGAGTAACAAAATTATCTAAATTAGCTATCAAATGGGATTCGATGATTGCTAGGGCAAAAGGTGTTAGGGTGGAGGTTGGAGAATGAGGCTAAGGTTGCATTTGTTCTAAGAGGTTAAGGCAGTAACTTTTTATGAAGTGTGCATGGGTCATTTGGGTAGGATGAAAGGTTATTGAGCCTTAAGAATATTCTTAACTTCACGAACTTTGCAAAGAGTTGTGACCAAGTTTAAGAATCTTAAAGGTGTAAAAGTTATTGTGAAGGATTGAAGATTATAAACTAATGTATCTCCTTGTAAATAATTAAATAATTGTTATATCTACCTCATCTAATTCATGTGCAAAAGATGAGGTAAGCTCTAAGTATACAAAGATCTGCGTGTGTTAGGAGCAATGTTGAATAAAAGTCTTCAGCATCATTAGACTCTAAAGCACTCTTTCTTTCTTTTTTCTTATGATGATTTATGTGCAAGTGATATCCCTCATATTGTCTTGCATTTTTTAGTACTCTTTGTATCATGATAGCCATCTACACTCTTGAAAAGGTATGATATAGGGTTCTATAAATTAGTGGAATAAGTGTTCAATGACTTTTGTCCTTTTTATAATAAGGTAGGTTATTGTTCTCATCATCATCTTAAAAGGATACATTAAAAATGACCAATTATATGTCCTTCAATATCTTATTTTGTTTTGTCTTTATTTCTAAATGGGCATTGTTTATGTTTGATATAACTTGTTAATGGCTCTAGGATGAGTTCTATTGTGTTCAGTGTTTTGGACTTGTTTCATTTTCACAGAGTAGACAACATTAATAGACATTTGTAATAAACTTTCAATGTTAACATTGAGTTCAAAATAACATTAATTGTGGTTGACAACATGCCTTCAACAGGTTTACTTATGGCAAACAATTGATTGTTTATACTCTATAATAGATAAATAAAATAATTTAGAGTATTAATATTTTGAATAAGAGCATATAAATATATACTTTAATTTACATGATACAATTTATAGAATTTTGAACTCTTTCATGGTTCATGCTCGTTATGTTGCGTTTCCTAATAGTCTCACTCATTAACATAGAGTTTAGTCAAGTAACATACTTCAAGCCTTAAAAAAAGGCTAATTACGTTTAATATCTTAAACATAAATATGTATTTGTGAAGTTAGTGTTATATTTTCAATAACTAAATTCTTTCATGATTGTATCTGACTTTGTTGTATTTGAAATTGTTCCCAACATAAAAAGAGACAAATAATTCCTTTTAATGATGGTATTATATCCAACTCAAAGATTGTTTCATTTTACTATACAATAATATTTTTTTTTTCATAATTGGTGTGTGCAAATTTTCAATTGAACAATATATGTTTTGTTGCTAAATTAGCAAAATGTATTTGTATTATTTTTTAATACCATTACTAATTTGCTTATGTGAATAGAGTGTTGCTTACGTAAAATCAAGTAACGACGACTTATTTTTAAATTCTAAACCTATTTAAGCGCAATTTTAAAATTCTAAAATAAAATACTAATATAATCAATCTTTGCTTAACTTAAACATAAAGATTTAAGGGCGTTGTTGCCTCCATTTCAATTAAGTTAAATTTAATTCAATTCGTAAAAGTGATAGTCAAAACTCATTAAAATTAATTATTTTTAAAATTATTTTTTTATTTCAAAATATGTTAAAATATAAAAATAAATAATTCTTTCTACTTTAAATAAATAACACTTAACTCTAGTTAAATAAATTATTTTTTAAAAGTTTATTTAAAAATTACGATGATGACTTTTTTTATTATCTTTATTTTTTCTTTCTTTCTTTTATATTTAATTTGTTATTTTTCTTACGATAATCCCATGAATCCCTGAGTAAAGGAAAAATTTTAAAACATTTGAGAGTAAATCATTGTATTTATTTATTTTATTTTACCTTGTCAAAGATTGGTTGAATAATGAATTGTTATTTATTAATTACACTAATTATTATTATTTATTTTGAAGGATAGAAAAACGAAATTTATAAATTCTAATTAAATCTAATTTTAAGTAGAACACAACTAAAGTATCAATCCAAAAAGTTTCATTTGTTATTATTCAAAAAAGGTTTGATAGTCTTATTTTCTTTGTTTTTCTACAGAATTTAGTGATAAACGAAACTGATTTTAATAAATTTATAAAATTAAAAATGTAATTGTTGATGGTGCATTTAGATATAATTTATTTTAACACTTATTTAATAATTTTTTAAACAACAACTTATACCACAAAATTAATAAAGTAATTTTAAAAAAATTAATTTTTTAGAAAAATATTCTAAAAATTTATTTAAATAAACCAAAAAATAACTTTTTTTAGCAAGTATTCACGAATTCTTTTAAATATACCTTTAATCTCTCTATCCTATTATATTGCCTACTCTTCAGTTGTAAAGAGAGTGAAGACTTGGTTAGATGCCATCCGTGCTTTTGATTCTGTTATTTGTGAGTGATTTCCTCTTTAGATGCCATCTACTCCTTCAAATTTGCTTTCAAATTTGCTTTCTTTCACTTTTATATAATACAAGAAAAATTAATAATAATTATTAATTATATATTAATTTATTTAAAAAATCTATTTATTATAATTTTATATTATTTTTAAAAAATTTAAATTCAAATAATAATAATAATTTCTTTATACATTTTTTATTTTTATATTTTTATTAAAATGTTTTTAAATATTACCAATATAATAATCCTCTTCAGTGAAAATAAACACCAAGTACTCATCAAACTCTTCTTTCTCTTTTTCGTTCAAACTAAGCTCTTCTTTCCTTTTACGCGTGGATCTGTACTTTTCCATTTTCATTGATTAAATATATTCAATTTCCTGGTCATTTCTCAGATCGCGTTCGGGATTTTTTTTTCTTTTATTTGTTTTTTTTTGTCTGCTTGGCGTTGCAATTTTAACTTTTTCGTTTTGTTTAGGGATGTCTGGTTGTGAGTTTTTCTTTCCACTGTGTAAATATTTTTTCTTTGTTTGTTTTGGAGTAATGGGGTGTGGCTGTGTTCAGCTTTGAATTCAATTCAAAAATGTGATTCTCTACGTGGAGTGGCTGTGACGTAATTCCAGATCTTCATTGTGCTTTCTCTGAACAATTCATGGGTTTTTCAGCTTTCAATTATCCATAATTCAGCAAAATATTTGGTCTTATCTTTGAAGGGTTGTTGATTTTCTATATCCCATTTCCATTGGCATTTTTAGCTCCGAAGATCATTGTTTGAGCTGGAAATCTTTTTATTCAGGTTAATCTCCATGCATGCTATTATTATGCTCTGTTCAGTTTTTCTATGTTTTCTTGGTTTGATTGATAAAATCTTTGTTTATCAACATGGCTGAAATATGTTGAACTAGTGCAAGGAGTGAAAATGACCATGGGTTTTATTTTCTTGTCTTACAAAGACTGTTATTAATGAGGACTTAAATGTTCCAATATTGACAAAAATATAATTGCGACTTTAGTTTTCCGTAATTCCACGCACTAAGATGGTTGTAGTATGTAATTTTTGTTATTCATCTCTGCTTGCTCTATGCAATAATGAGCATGCGCTAGCTACCTTCGTTGCTGAAGAATTTTATTTATCTTTGATTTTTGGTTTATTTGTTGGGTTCAAATTGCGTTTTTGTTATTTTTTTATTGTTTATCCTCCTTAGTCTTATTCCTTAAAGTAACACACATTGTAGACTTAATGGGTTCCCTTGATTTTGATTCTTCAAGTGGTTGATCGGTATGTAAGTTTGGGTTTTGGAACTTCACAAGCTTCAATTTCAAATAAAACCATCTTATATGCATGGCTGAAAACTTGAAATCTGAATGTGGAATTTACTATGCTGTAACTAAAGAAATAAATTATAATCTAATTCTTAATACGACAAATGATACACAGATGCTATAACAGGATTAGGCATTAGAATTACTGGAACGAATGTGGAATTTACTATGCTGAAAAACTCTGTAATACGTTCGGAAGCATTATTTTTAAGTTTAACCTCTTTAATCTTTGTATTTCTCTCTACTTTTGTAGGTAAATTGAGAGCCATGAGTGGCATGACAAGTAGGGGTGATTCTCGAAAATGTTTGAGGGGTCGCCGATCATCATCAATGGGTGATGAAGCTGGTGGTGAAGGTAGCTCGGGAGGAGAAGGTCCTCTAAAGAAAGGTCCATGGACAGCAGCAGAGGATGCAATTTTGGTAGAATATGTCAAAAAGTACGGTGAGGGCAATTGGAATGCAGTCCTGACAAAGTCAGGACTTGCCCGTTGTGGGAAAAGCTGCCGTCTACGATGGGCAAATCATTTAAGACCAGATCTAAAAAAGGGTGCATTTACATCTGAGGAAGAGAGAAAAATCATTGAGCTCCATGCTAAGATGGGAAACAAATGGGCTCGAATGGCTGCAGAGGTTTGTTATAATGTATCTTCCTTTGATGTTTTGTCATCATATATTATGCTAATTTTTAGCTAAATCATGCAAGAAGCTTATCCAAATAGTCATTTGCATCTGAAAAATACTTCATTTATGACATGGAGAGGAGTCAGAAGCTAAAGACAAATTTCTGGTATGGAGAATGCTATATTAATAGAATATAATACTATTTTGTCAATATAAACATATCTATATATGATTCATTCTTCAGCATGGTGCTCCTCCCAAGTTATATTTTTACTCATTCTTCTTGATGCTTGCAAATCTATAGTTGGCACTTAGACAATACAATTTTCATTGGGTGGTTTTGATTCTGTTGGATCGTGTAAGCATTGTGAATTTGTCATGGTAATGTCATTGCAAATAACATTTCAAAACTTTTGGCATGATTTTGCTGTATTATTGTATATTTAGCTTTAAGGGCTTGTGTGATCCCATGTTAATGAATAATTGATTTGTACTGCTTAATATCTCTGCTTCTTGATTCATTCTTGTTGATGTAGATTGGTTTTCTGATATTTGTTACCAAGAACTTATAATGTTATATGAATATTCTGTTGAGTATTTTACTGCAATGATTATTAAGTTATCTGACAGTAAAACTATGTCATTCTTTGATTGATTTGATGAGCCTTTGAGGTGCTTCCTCCTCTCAATTTTGACCTCTAAATGCCAAATAAAAGCTTTATGGGGTGTTAAGTTACAGAAGTTTTTAAGGAGTTAATAAAGATTAAAGGTAACATGTTTAGTACAAAGTTTTTGTACTTTCTGAGGAAAGAAGATTATATCTGTTGATTATATTCTATGAAGCATGTAGTTCCATTAAATTGCAAAAGCTAAGATAGAATATCTGTGAATATTCTCTTGCTGTTGTTTGAGCATCACAGGTAATTTTAAGTAATATTATTCTCTTGCTTTTGGTTTTAATGTTTATAACCTGAGTAGGGTTGAACACAAAAAGCTGATAAGAGGAAAAAATTTTCCATTTAAGTTTTGATCTGGTAGAAAAGATATTTCTGTACAAAATATACTCTTACTTAGGTTTGCCTCTACTCCCTCCATCCCTAAATGTAAACCTACCTGCCACTTAAGCCAAATAAGCCCTCCACCTCCCTCCCAAAAGGAAAGAATGCAAATTCAGCAATAGTAGTATGTAGGAATCTTTCCACATAAATTTTGAATTAAATAAACCTTGTTTTTGTATATAAATTTAATCAATACATTGGCTATTTCCATGCTCAACAAATATATGGAATACACTTATTATTGCTCAAGCTACAGAAACAAAATTATAAATATTGTATAAAAACAATTTAAATTAATTTTTCTGAAGTTGCCATAAAAATGAAATAATTTTTTCAAATAGGCACTTATGGTTAATTGTTAGAATTTATGGACTTCAGCAAGCTCTATGATTTTCAGTGAGACCATGTGCAAGTATAGCAATATGCTTAATAAAATTTTGTACATCGTTAATGTGAATTAATTGTTATCTGGATATAGATAGTTTAAACTGTATCTGTTTTCTGTGTATGTTATGACACGCAAATGGTGTGCATCTGTATTGCATGCTGCTGTATGATCCATAGTTTCTGAAATGCAATGTTTATTTTTATCGATTTCTTAGTTAATTTTATTCCATATTATAATTGTTTCTTATGAAGACATGATTTCTGTAAACGTTTTAAAACTTTGGTAAGATAGGATGATAATCTCATAGTTTTTGCAAAATCCATAAATTTGAATTGAGAAATGTGGAAGCAGAAAATAAAATTAAGGAAAATAAAATAGTGTAGTGAACATGTGTTATGCAGATGGGTACTATGGTCTTAGTAAGCTATGCTGTATTTTAATCCTAAATGGAAACCATCTTTATCTGTCAGCTAAAGAATAAAATACTTGAAAAATTTGTCTAGTGAAGCTCGGACTTGATAATTGCTGGCAGCAAGTATGGCCAAAGCTGGGGAGAGTCTTTTGCGGACATAGCCTAAAGCAGGCTTCTTGTCACATTCTAAGGTGAGCTTGCACGCGAATGCACAGAGTATAAGAGGGTAGAGGGGAAAGGGATAGACAAAGAATTCAATATTAAGCTGCAAAATACCCACTACATAATGACTATAATACCCTTCTCTATGGCATTCTTTCTTAATTCTGCATAGTCACCATTACTTATGTGTTTTCTGGTATGGAGAATTCAATGTATTTCTTGCATTTTCTTTTTGGGATATTTGTTTTTGTGTTCATTCCTTTTTCTGTTCCAGTTGCCTGGACGTACAGATAATGAAATCAAGAATTATTGGAATACAAGAGTTAAAAGAATGCAAAGGGCTGGCTTACCAATCTACCCTGATGAATTATGCCAACAGTTGCTTAATGGCAATGAAGAAAGTCAAAATGTTGGCAACTTGACAAATGATGCAACCCAACACAATGATTTTTCGCAAATTGACAATTTTGATATACCTGATGTGGATTTCAAAACTTTCAATTTCTGCCCGGGTCTATCAAATGGGCCATCAATTTTTGATATGCTTGACAGCAGCTTGTTTGAACAAAGTTCAGGCTCACCTCATAATTATAACATGTTCCCGCCAATGCATTCCTCAAAGCGCCTTCGAGAGTCAGATATGCTATACACTAGTTCTGGAAGTTGTATAGGTAATACTGTCCCGGTATTCAATCAGTATGGCAATTACCCTTGTGAGAACATTCCTGACCATCCTACATTGTCTTCTCCATATGATCCTCTTCTTGACACTAGTGATCAGTTTTATGATGGTAACCTTACTGGCAGCCATGCCTCATTAAATGGCAACATTACCTCTTCTTCTGCGCCCATATATGGGGCAATGAAGTTGGAGCTCCCTTCACTCCAATATGCAGAAACTCAACATGGTAGCTGGGGCAGGCCTACATCCTCACTTCCTTCACTTGAGTCTGTTGATACATTGATTCAGTCAACTCCGATTGAGCCTATTCAATCAGAAGCTGTTTATCCACAGAGCAGTGGCTTGCTAGAAGCAATAGTCTACAATTCAAAGAGTTCAAAAGGCTCAAACAATGATTCTTTGCAAGAGACAACCAATATGCCCAACGAAGCAGTCAAGACAGAATGGGATGAACAAGGGGAGCCATATTCCCTTGCTCAATCTGCTGCTTTAGTTATGACAGACTATACTCCTATGAGCATGTGCTCCGTGGATGGGGCACTAGCTGAAATCACTCAGGGTTAGCATACTATTCATACCCTTTAGTTTTTAAAATATGGAATATTCCCATATTTTGAATGAATAAAAGTTTCTGTTTCCTTGTTTTACAGATCATGATATCAAGCATGAAACAGTTTCACAGCTCCCTGATTACAATTCCAGGAAAGAAGAAATTTTGAATCAGATAGATTTTACACAGTCAGATGCTTTATTTGACCTAGGTTGGTTTGGGGATAACATTGAGCATGGCAATGATCAATCTGTTATAAAAGGTGCTTTTCTAAATGCACTTCTTGGTGATGATTTTCAGGGTAAGCAATAACAAGTGGGTGGATATTGCTTTGGCCTTGATGTAATGCTTGTTCATGATATAACTGCATTTTTTTAGATCAACTTTCTTAACTCTATTAGGTCAAGTTTTCTTAATTCCCAGTAACCTTTAGAACCCTCAGTTAGGATGATCAGAGATTTTATGGCAGATATTTCATTTCTTTATGGCAGATATTTCAATTTTTTATGGCGGATATTTCAATTTTATTTTGTCATGGTGCTCGTACTGGAAGATTGATATTTGAAATTGTTATGAGCGCACAACTGAAAGGAGCATGCTTCTTATTCAATTGCAGTAACCTTATGCATGATATTTGATCATTTTTAAAATTTTATTTTAATGTGATTCCTTCACAGAGTTTAGAGTCCTTTGCCTTATGTTATAATAGAACTGTTTAAAATGAATGGTATCGGCAGCTTCAGTAATAGCATGTGTTTGGCCATGTTTGAAAGTCACAAAAGTAATTTATTTTATTATTATTCTTTTTTTTTCAATTTTATGGGTGGTAGAATTTACACTATAATAAGCTTTGGTGTTTACTCTTATTATCAATTTTATGGGAGAAATAATAAGGTTAATTATACGAGTATACTTAATATCATAGTAAAAATTAATTAACCACTCTTTTGTTAATTTCTTTAAGAGCATTAACTCGGCTGGGCTCAATTGTTTTCACTCGGAAAAATAAGGAAATAAAAAAAGTAAATTCTGTGGTATTTTAAAAAAAATTTCTGGATTTATGAAAAATTTTAACCAATAATATTAAGCAATAATTATTACCTTTTCAATTGAAAAAAAAAAAAAAGAGTTGCGACAAGTGATTTACGAAGTTTACTTATTGAATGTTGCCGGAAAGCATTGATTCAGAAGAGGCATTATTCAAAAGGGAAATAATGTGTTCACACTGTAAATTGGAGTACGAAATGGCTCAGTGAAGAGAAATATAAGATTAAAAAAAAAACAGAAAATAAAAGATGAGATAACAAAATAGAGATAAAATGAACGAAATAATGGAAAATAAATAAAAGAAAAATTATATTTAAAAAAATAATTATTTGATTAAAAAAAAAATTTCACGTGTGGTAGAGCGTGAGATGAAGGATAAAGATGGGGGAAAAATGATAAGTGATGCAATTAAATGAAAAATAAAAATAGACATTCTAAATAAATAAATGAAAATAATATGAAAGAATTAAAGATGACAACAGTAAATTGAATTGTTTTCATCTTCTACTTTCCAAAATTATGATTAAAATAAAAGACGAAACCATATAGCTGGTTTCATCCTTCAGTAATGGGAGAAATAAATGATGGTGACGAGTCAATGCATCATTGGTATTATAATATTTTTGTACTAAATATTTTTTCAGCAGTTTAATATAACTGTAGCAAATTATCAGATGAAGTAATTCTTAAGAGTTAGATTAATTGTGTAGATATTGAAAATTATTAAATTAGTTATATATATATATATATATATATAATATTTTTATCTTTTAATGAATTTTTATTTTAATTTATTAATTTATTTTTATAATGTTCTTCTTAACTTTAATAGTTTTATTTATTTGATATAATAAAATATTTATTAATTCAAAATATTATTTTCATTAATTTTTTAAGTTAATAAATAATACTTGTATAATACATGAAAAAATTGTTAATGTATATGTGCACGCGTACATGTGGGTATAAATTTACTTACTTCAACAATAAATCTTGTTGAATTAGTATCATTTAATAAATTTGATAAATATTAAAATTATTCTAGTTCTCAAATTTAAAATTATTAAATTTTAAAATGTGTAAAAAAGTTAATAAATTTTGATATCAACGCTCCTTTCGATATATATAGTTAATAAAGTATTATCGATATAATTTATTAGAGGGTGTCAATATTCATTTTTATAAGCTAATCAATGAATTATTTACTGATAGTATATATAGACACCCTTTTATAAATTATGTTAATAATACCTTATTAATTACATACACACATATATATATATATATATATTAAAGGAGTGTCAATATCTACTCCTTTACTAAATATTCATTAATTTAAAGTGGAGGTAGCATTCCATGAAATTAAATTCACATTATAGTTTAAATATTTTAATATGCCAATTGAAAGGTAAACTTAGCCATCTACTTCAGTTTCAAGCTCATATATATAACTTTTTTGAAAATATAGCTTAGTTACTCATTTTTCAATGAATGAACCTTTGATCTTTCTAAGTGGGATATAGAGTTGGCCCTCTAAAAAGAGTTTCTTTCCTTTAAATATTCAAATAAAAAGAGTAAACATGAGTGAAACGTGCCATGAGCTTGTGACATAAAAAAGCACACCTGAGAAAAAGGACTCTAAACCTATCATTAAATTTTCCTTTAGAATATAACAGCAATGCTATAAGAGAAAAGAATGAGACAATTTAAGCGGTTCAAACACCATGATTATCTAACGCAGCAAGCAGTTTAAGTTGTGTCTTTTTCTTCTCACAGATCTTAAAGAAAAGGAAAACGGATACACAGATTCACAAAGAAAACGAGGTTGAAATAAAACCATCATTACAGAAACCAACAACATTTTCCAACAAAACCTATATCTGATGAGTTCAGATATTTCTAGACATGCATAACTTTAATTAACACAAAGCATTACATAACACACTTAGCTTAAACATAACATTATTAATTTGTTTAATTCAAACTCTTTTTTGTTCTTCCATCTTCCTTAGGAGGCACTTCATTCAGATCAAAAGCTACCATTTTTGGAGGAGGAACTGCAGTTGACACCTCTTGATCCATTTCATTCACTACTTCAGAAACTTCATTGGAACCTTTTGCTCCTTCTCCATCAATCTCACGAGCAACAAGTTGATCAACTTCAATGGAAATAGCACCTTCACTCACCACCTTTCCCTTTTCTTCTTTAATTCCCTTAGTCCCTTTATCATCATCATCATCATCATCACTGGATGTTGCATACTCATTCACATGACAAAGGACCGACTGCATTGTAGCAAAATCCTCATCACAAACTTTGCACCTGTATAACCTCCTAGTCTTGCAAATCTTGTGTCCACGACACCTCCTCAACTTCTCCATCAACAACTTTTCATCATAATATGTATCCTCATCATCCTCTTCATACTCCTCATCCTCGTCATTTTCATCGTCATCACACTCATTTTGTATCATCTTTCTCTTCTTTTTCTTATCTTTTTCGCCGTTACCACCAGCATCACCACTACCACCCCTCTTTCTCTGACCCTTCCAACCAGGCCCAGATAAAGACTTGGACAAATCAGTGATGACCACATCACCACCGCCACCTTTTTTGTCTCTTCTGCTGAGGGTGTTGTTAAGAGTGCTGTGGGGTACCACACGTGATTGCACCCCTGTTTGCTTGATGGTGCCGTTGTTGATCTTCAGCTTGGCCATTGCATTGTCCTTGTTGTAGTGGAACTTGACGTGTCCACCCAAGGCTTTTGCAGACTTGAATTCACGCTTGCAGTATCCGCAAACCTTTTTGCCAGAAACAAGCATTTGACCAAGGCGGTTGCTGCCAGCGCTTTCTTGTTCAGATGGAGCAGCAGCAGCAACACCACCTTTGTTGTTGTTCCTTTCATGTGTGACCCATTTCGTTGAAGGAGCCATCTGCAGGAAAAAAAAAAAAAAGAGAAAAAAGAAAGAGTGTGTGAGGAAAATCAAGTTGAGATCTTTAAAGGGTTACGAATATACCTGCATTAAAAGAAAACTTTAAAAAAAGAAACCTTCATGAAGATGAAGACGACAGAGAGAAGAAAGAGAAATGAAAAGGATCACACTGACTGAGAAATGAGATATGGAAAGTGTCCAATGCTGCAGCTCCTATATATAAGAGAAAGAGAAAGAGAGAGAAGGGGGGTGGGTAAGAAAATGTGAGATGCCTAAGAGGGTATCAATTAGTTTGTTTTTTTGTGAAAAATATTTCCATTTTATATAATTCAAATTTTATACCAGTTGTATGTTTTTTATACATATTTTTCTTGTAACGTTTACCAATTTATTTATTTTATCTTTCTTTTTAAGTCTCATGATGTATATATTTAACCAAAAAATAGTTTTTTCTTGCAATTATTATTATATTTTTTTTATGAAATACTATTTTTTATATATTTTAATTGCATTGTTTTTATCTCAAATTTCTCTCCCTTCCTTCTTTAATTTTCCCTTATAAGCAATGAGAAGAGAAAACATTAATTTTAGTTATTCAAAAATAAAAATAGCATCTAATAAGTTTTTTAAAGGTTCAAATTATTAAATTAATCTTTGAAAATTTTTAATTGTTATCATATTAGAATTTTTACAATTTTACAATTTTTTTCTGTAAAATATAATGTTTAATTTTTTGTTTTCTTGGTTTTCTAAACATACCAACCAATGTGAAGTGATCCTTTTACAAAAGAAATTGAAGTTTTTGTTTCTTACAGAAAAGGAATCGAATTGGAACCTAACCTTCTTTATATGCTTATTTCATCCCTGGCTGAACTCACGTTTTGTTACCTTTGTTATGGATAAGTAATAATACTTTCTTTTTTTACTTATTTATTTTAACACATTTTTTAGTACCTATTAAGTATCCAAACTTATATAAGATTACTCATTAATGAAATAGATCATTTTTTTTTTATGGTTTCATAGTAATTGCCAACGTTAAGTCCAAAATATTTTGTCTTATTTTTATTTGATCTTTAATTTTATTAACTTAATATTTTTAAATTTTTTGTTGATAAATTTTATTAAAAAATTACATGACAAACAATAATAAGCACATAATTAATGATAGAATATAATCAATAAATTAAGAATTAGAATAATTAGTTTTTATAAACCTTAAAATAAACAATAAAATAATTTTACAAATTCACTTCTACAGAAAATTATTATATATATGTATGTACCATTGTACAAGGCTACTCAAATTATTACAAGTGAACATACATGCTGAAGAAACTCTCTCATTATCAGCACTAATTAATAATGATAAAAAAAAGAAGGAATTATATTACTTATTAAAATTAAATAAATTAATAAATATATTTTAAAATATTAAATTTAATATGAGACAAGATATTCTCACACTAGTGTAAATTTATAATTTTTTATTCTTTTATTTAATTTACATTTAATAAATTAACCGTTAGATATAAATTAAATAAAAGATTTAAATAAATATAAAATTTTTTAAACTTATATAAAAAAATTATTTTCTAATTAATATTTATAAATATAAATATAACAATATTTATTGTTCAAATAAATACATACACGTGTATGT